AATGGGAGAAGCACGGCGATATCTGTCTACCATGACAAGGTACACATCGTTCGTTTTGCATCAGAAATCACACAGAGACAGTCTGTGAAAAGCTTTTTCAAAGGAAGAGTCTTAGGTCATCTCCATGCATTTTATATGCATGGCCGGATACGATTCTCGGTTCTGCTGTCAGCGCATTACGATAGCGAACGATGTAAGATGCTTCTGTTGCTTTTTTACAGTATGGGACGCTTTAAGCATGTACGTTTGGGTGTTCAATATTTCATCCCGCATGCGCTGTAAGTACCTTTTTCTGTCTTTACAGTCCGTATGCATTTTTGAAAATGCCGCTGCAATTTAATACGCACCATGTTCAGAAGAACTTTGTTACACAAGTCACCTCGTGGATAATTATTGGACTCTATAAATCCAAAACGAAGAGAAACGTTGTTGTATTTCCGCCTCTTACCCACTGGTACAGAGGATCCGGTTGGCACAGACTTATGTTGCATCACATCAGGTAGTACAGAAACATCGCACGTCTTAGTTGCTGCATGCTCAGAAGGCACATTGGATGGCCCAACTGCTACTACATCTGAATTCGACGAAGAATATTCCTGTGAAACATTTAGCAGTATTCCATTCTTCAGTACATGGGCTTTGTTGATGTTACATGTTCCCACTGCGCCCGTTCGAGTGACATCCACTGAGGCCGCACGCGCTATCGGTACAAATGCCCACAGAGGAATTCGTAAGCGGCGGACATGTGCGCGAAATGACCAGACACGGGCACGGCCACAATCATGAGACAAATTATGTCGCAACAAGACAAGCGAAATCACCACACCGAATGGGGTCAAATGCATGGAGGAGTTGATGTCTGGTTTAAATAGCCGTGATGATATATTTTCGCACATCGTACTGGAAAGCTCATTGTGCCAACACCAAATGACACGAAGAGGTCCGTATGTCCGCCACTCGTTAGAAGTGAGGAACAGGATACTGACTGTGTATGAAGAAGGAAACGACTGGAAGCACCTCGCCAATTTACTTCACGTGAACTTGAACACTTGCCGCAATTGGATAAGAGTGCTGGAGTCAACCGAACCACGAGGTCAACACGGGGGTGCTCGTTGCAGAGCGATGACAGAGAGCCACGTTGACTCTCTGGTTGAGTGGGTGTCGGCGGAACCCACCATAACCCTTGCAAAACTCCGCTTGCGCTTGAAAGCTGAGTTCGACGTTGAGGTCTGTACCAGTACTGTTGCCAGATACCTTGACGGGCGATTGATAACGATGAAGAAGTTACATACCATTCCTGAATCCCTGAACACGCAGGTGAACAAACAGCGACGGAAATTGTTCGTCCTGCAGCTGTTACATTTTCAAGCTGAAGGAAGGGAACCGATGTGGATCGACGAGACGAACTTCAATCTCTTTTGCTCACGAACTCGGGGCCGTTCACCACGTGGGAGCCGAGCACAGTGTACTGTGGCAAACAGTCGCGGTCAAAATGTGCACCTTGTCGGAGCAATGACAAAGGACGCATTGATAGCCTTCTCCGTTTTACGTGGAAGCTACAATAAACAAAGATGTGCGCAGTGGCTGCGACAGTTGCTAGATGCACAAGGTGCGGGTGTTATCGAACGGTGCCTGCTGATTTGTGACAACGCGCCGTGCCACACAGATTTGGAGAACTTGTTCCAGGAAGAGCAGTACCGATCAGGGAGGCTGTTACGATTATCCCCATACTCTCCGGCGCTGAATCCTATCGAGGGGATCTGGAGTATAATCAAAAGCTACGTCAAGCAAGCGATGAGGACCAGGTATGGGGAAATGCTCCGAGGGGACCCGGATTGTTTTCTCAGCCAAAGGGAGTGGCGCATCAGATTCCTGGAGCAGGTTGTGTCAGAGGCACGATCACGTGTGACACCGCACCACTGCGAGAACATGGTTCAGCACGTGACAGGGAATTACGGACGTGCTATTCACATGTCCGATTTGTAACTAATTTTCATGTGATTAACATATCATTTTGTAGATAGAAATGGTGTTTTCCTTTTTCATCGCCGAGTGGTTGCAAAGAATACTACGTGCAATATGCAGTTTCGCGATAGTGGAACACACTAGCGCCCGTTTAGAAAGGAGTGCGCAACGTCGTTCAGCATACCGGTTTCCGTATATGTGCCGTGAAATACGTATTGCGATATGCTTTACTGATAACACATAAGCTGCGATGTGGTTCATCGGAAATGCTGGCTCATTTCTCGTCGTAGATTTCGTAGCAGTTTACGTATGCATCACAGACGTATCAGAAATCGGGTGTGTGCCGTTCTGCAGAGCATTGATGTAGCAAGCTTGACGACAACGGGTATAGGATAATCGTTTGCACGAGGAAAGGAGCGCAGGTGAATGGATATCGCCTCACTAAATCCCTTATGATTGATGCGGCGCGCAGGATACCATAAGGATATTCAGGGAAAGTCTTCGCGGTATAGTATTGGTAACAGTTCCGGATTGCGTAGCTATCGCTTAGAACCTGCTTCTTAACAAAGCCGAGGGCAGCGGTGTCAAGCGGAAGATATGTGGAGAATTGCGCGTACTCGCTTAGGTAGTATTCTTAGCCTACCTAGATATGTATGGCTGCACAGGAGAGGAATGGTTCCATCAACATAGCATCAGTACCGCAGGTTATGGCCCGTAAGTAGGGCTAGTTTGTTGGGCTGCAAACCACTCGATGTTGGTCAAGTGGCGTCCTCACATCACTGATGACGCAGCATAAGTTGACTTCTGCTGTCCGAATGACATAACATGGCAGATGCTAAGCTTTCCAGCGGTTTAGTCACCTTTCCGTTACCTGAAACGAAACGTGATCCGGGGGCACGTAGCTTTAAATCCGTCATAATATAAACAAGTCAGTAGTGAAAACAGCCTGGGGAACCAGGAGCCAGGTAACGGATACCTCAAATGGTTCCGCGCTAGAGCCGAACGCAATACCCGTACCTCGGAATGCCGTACGAAACATAGGCTGTGCCTAACTGTATACACGTCAACGTCTTCGCTATCTAGCAAGCAGTCCAGTACGTAAGCAGCAACTGATTTCAAACGGCTTGTGACCACGGTGATGCACGTTGCACTAACTGCCATGTAAAGCAAAGTTTCAGAACGCAAGTAAAGCACCATGGGCAGTGCACCAAAAGAAAATGATCACGAGTACGATACAGTTTGTTGTGCAGTAGGACATTGTGTTACAACCGCCACGTTGAGCAGTGTCTTCTTGCCATCCCATTTCGTGCATAACGGTCGACGCAGAGTCTTTGGAGGAATACTATTGCTTGCTTGTGTCACAGGGCATCCGACTGTAAACACATTGTCGGCATGAATCATGACAGCGCGATCCAACATTTTTGTCAAGGACAAATCCTTTCTGTTACTGATCATACTTGTGTGCAACCAATAGAGCAGGGACACGTGTGGAGCGGGCAAATTACTCCACTTTGCTTAGTTCTCGAGTTTTATTAAGGCTGGGGGATTGCCCACACCCGTTTGTTCATTAAGCTTGCTCGTGTATTGGATGACGTAGGTAGCCTTCTCTGATCTGTCAAAAACGCCGCCGATGGCTTTATTGTTCTTGAATCGTTCGGACTACCTAGCTATGGGGTAATCGTAATAAAAGATAGTCGGAGCGAGGGCAGAAAATCGACAAAGCGTCAAGAGCACAGCCCATGCCGCAGTGCAATTAACCGGTGCGATGACCCAGAGAGTGGGCAATTAGACGGGGAACATGTAGCATATTTATGAGAAAAGAATTGATATTTTGAAAAACTGGTCAATAAAGGAGGTTCCATTGTGTAACACATGTGCCTGTTAGAGGAGAGACAGCAATCAGCAAAGCATGAACTTCCCGAACCGTACGATTCTTCACGGAAGGCTGCGAGCAGATTTAGTGCATCGATAAATTTCGTTCTCACGCCCTATACTTACCAGGTTGACAAGTTGAGCTCATATGTCACAATGATAGGTTAAATATCGCAAGATGGTTACCTGTACCATTTCCGTGGGTCGCACTTCCCAGCTGCGTATTGCAATAATACTTCCCTCTCATAGCACAAATACAACGGATCACCGTTGTATTTGTGCACTAGTACTTGTGGCTTGCAGCCTAACAAAATACGAGACTTGCTAAGTACTCTCTTCATTGCCCGTGCTATCATATTATTCCCTGTAAGTGTCCCTCTAACTCGAAATGCAACCTGTTCAATCATGGCACATGCACTAAGACTGTCATATTATTGACCGTGTGCAGTTATCAGTGTGCATTTTCACAGTTAGGCAATCACACTGTTCTTCAGTCAGAAGAGTTACTGCTCTGCGATCATCGCATCTGTGAGCACCTGATCAACACTGCGCATCAATGTCGTGTTAAATACTCATTTAGGGTTCTCCTACTTGCCCTATAACGATGCTCAAAGGGACTCAAAAGGTGCTTCCTGACTATAGCTGAAGCTATTGCTATCGGACACCTTCAGCCGGAATTATGCAATCAGCAATCTCTCGTGCAAGCGCTAATTCTGAACTGGTCCTCACGAAGTTAGCAGGCCTCAAGGTCACCGGTCCATCGTGACTCCTTTGAATCTGTCATTGATTGCTGTACATAATAAGTTCCCAGTTTAACCGTTTCCTCTATCATCCGACGTCCTTGTCCTTGTACATAGCTAGCAATAGCTTTTTGCAACTTTCAGTTATCTGCTTCATAATTGTAGCGCCTGACGATATTTATGGAAAAGCAATTTCTTCGTAATTGTTCTCTTCATGTCTGAATGCGCATAATTTATGAGTATAACAATCTCTATAGTACTGTTTCTCAAAAGGGTGGTCCGCGGATGCCCAGGGGATACGTGGGCTAGTTTCAGGGAATCCGCATGATCTCCCAGTGTTATACTTCTACTAGGAAATTTTATGGACGCGATCAGTCTGTCACAAATTTATGACAAACGTGCTGTAAAATTTTTAAATCAAACCTAACGGTTTACATTATAGCCTTGTGCATTGCCCATACAAACATACTTCTTCCAAGGAGGAAGCTTGTTTTGGCTGGGAGTTAAACTGTGAGCGAACGGGGCTTTCCAATTTCAGAAAGGTCGTGTGTTAATTTCACCGTGATGCCATGGGCAGTGGCTAGATGGTTCATTCTACGTCCGTTCAAGCTCACATAACCCAGTCTCTGTCCCTGGAGGGGCAGCGAGAAGTATGCCATATGATAGGGCTCAAGTTTGCGGTCATTTCAAGTGTTACTATTCTCCGAAAAATAAGCAAACCGGAAGGGAGACCCGTTTGCGGGATCGCTTCAATGGAAGCTCAGCAGGAAAGCGTGGATATTTCTGTGTTTAACGAATGTGCTCAGCCGATTATGCGAACTCGAGGGAAATTACATCAGCGACGTTACAAAAGGGTGGCACTTTCGTTCACTATGATACTTCGTTCAAAGTACAACTTATCATAGTAACGAAATTCCTGGTGTGTTTTGGACTCTTGTGTTTAATTATTTATCTCCATTGTGGTAGTTAGACATGTAACATCAACAAAGCCCATGTACTGAAGAATGGAATACTGCTAAATGTTTCACAGGAATATTCTTCGTCGAATTCAGATGTAGTAGCAGTTGGGCCATCCAATGTGCCTTCTGAGCATGCAGCAACTAAGACGTGCGATGTTTCTGTACTACCTGATGTGATGCAATATAAGTCTGTGCCAACCGGATCCTCTGTACCAGTGGGTAAGAGGCGGAAATACAACAACGTTTCTCTTCGTTTTGGATTTATAGAGTCCAATAATTATCCACAAGGTGACTTGTGTAACAAAGTTCTTCTGAACATGGTGCGTATTAAAATGCAGCGGCATTTTCAAAAATTCATACGGACTGTAAAGACAGAAAAAGGTACTTACAGCGCATGCGAGATGAAATATTGAACACCCAAACGTACATGCTTAAAGCGTCGCAGACTGTAAAAAAGCAACAGAAGCATCTTACATCGTTCGCTATCGTAATGCGCTGACAGCAGAACCGAGAAGCGTATCCGGCCATGCATATAAAATGCATGGAGATGACCTAAGACTCTTCCTTTCAAAAAGCTTTTCACAGACTGTCTCTGTGTGATTTCTGATGCAAAACGAACGATGTGTACCTTGTCATGGTAGACAGATATCGCCGTGCTTCTCCCATTTGCCACAACTTATCTGTGTGAGATTGCATTCTCGCATTATATCTATACAAAACAAAGTACCGAAACAGACCTGAAGCGTAACCAGATCCGAGGTTCTAGCTTTCCTCAATAACACCTAGTATCAAACAAGTCAGCGCTGCATGTCGGAACGAATTTTATCCAAGGTACTAGGCCTTAATATAGTTGCATTTGCATGTAAGTTCAACAGCCTTCACTATTGCCAACATAAATGAACAACTGTGCAATGTACGCGGCCTTGTTTTGTACGCTCGCCGCTTTCGATAGCCCCATAGAAAAAATTCATGGGGTTTAAATCTGGCGTGCGAGCTGGCCACTCCATTGGTCCACCGCGTCCGATCCAATGGTGACCAAATTTGTCAGTGAGGTAAGCACGCACCGTTTTAGCTGAATGTGCGGGTACACCATCCTCTGCCACCAAATGTTACTGCATGCTCCTTCGGCCTCCAGCTGTGGAAGCACAAATGTCTGCGGCATTTGTAAGTACGACGATGCTAGGAAAAGATAAGGATTTAGTACTTTAAAACAACAACCTACCGGTCACATTCCCGGAAAAGAAATATGGGCCCAAGATTTTCTAGCTTGTTAATCCAGCTTAAACCATCAGTTTCACACTGTGGTGCATACGTGATGCGGTATATTTTCGTGGGTTGCTGGTAGCCCAATAGTAATGTTTCGTTGTTTCATGCAGATAAAACAGCGCCTCATCTGTAAACATGACAGAACGAACATCCCCGTGATCCAGAAACCAGCGGCAAAATTCATGCCGCTTCTCCGGATCGCAGGGGTTCAAAACTTGCACTTGAGGTGTACGGAATCTTTGAAATTTTCCTTCCTGTAATATCCGGTGTACCACATACCGGGTCGTGTCACAGTGCTGTGCGATCCGACGAATGTTTAGACCGGAACTTTTTGACACTCCACTGACTACAGCGCAAGCTAAACAGTCGTCCGTGGTGATGCAAGGCAGTCCGGTTCTCTTCATGTCACACACACTACCAGTTTGCTCGAACTTTTTCACTAGTTTGAACACGTACCGGGAGGTGACGGGACGCATTTCTGCGTTCATTGCATTGTATCTTCGTGAAGTCAATGCGGGGTTTAAATCGCCTTCACCGTGCAGCCGAATAATCAGCGCGCACTGAGTAACAGGAACGTTACGTGCTCCCGACTGCATTGTCTGCTCGTGCTCCATTACCTGTGATTCAATAGCATTGATAAGAGTTGCAATGCCTAACCTCGTCCTCAGCTGAGCTACCATCACGTGCGCACCTTCACGCCGCAGGTTTGGTTGCCTACGCCGACTTCGCTGGGTAGCCAGCGTGACACAGAGAGATAACCATCGATCGCCCCAACGCCTACGGTTGGCCATGACCTTCAGCACTCAGCGCGAAGTTAGCTGACAGTTAACGAACACCGGAACCACGTTGTGGCTGTCTGTACTCATCTCGGTCGATGACCAAAACAGCCTCATGTCGGTGCGTCTTCACCAGTTTACGCTTGCACTCAGCTGAGCCTTGCCCTAACTCACTCGTCTGCCGAGCATTCCATACGTCATCATCACTAAGGTGAGAGAGAAATTCATGTCTCTGCACGCGCAGTAGCATTTTGCGAATTTCGCTAAACATTGCATAGTGGAGACAACGGCTGTCAATGACCGGCGTTCACCATAAGCGAGCGCCGGTAGGTAAATGAACGCGGTCATCGGTCTTCTGTCCCTGTTGCAGTACCAGATGAAGTGTGCATACATGGTAAATGCAGTCAGATCGTGAAAACCAGATTGGCATCCACTGCACCAATTCACGAGAGCCAGTGGGTCACCACGACATGTAGTTTGTAAGTAGATTAGTTGCTGTAAATTGAATTGATACGTGGATGATTTCTTGCACGTATTTTGGTCCGTTTTAGAGGCATGGAGGGTAATGACAACAGCAAAGCAGAACATACATTAGGAATGCAGTATACACCACCGAGCAAAGCGGCCAGACTAATCACCGTTGAGTAACCATTGTTGTTCAGTATCGATGGAAAAAATTTAGTTGTCTCGTTTCATTTCACGTCTGATCTTTCATATGTTGGGGCGTAACTTCAACATCCATATTGGGCCCATGCGCTGCGGGAAACAATAGTACACATAAGGTAGACAAAAGCGTTCTTCGAGAAGTGGAACAATTAGCTGTGGCGGAATTTGCTGGAGCAAGGTAAGATTGGATTTGCATGAGTCCTTCGTTCCACTGTACAGATGAGAATGATCACTCGTAACCACCAGTGAACTCTTAATCCTCATGTCGAAAAGAGCAGCCAAGGCATTCTTTCGAGTCATCACCGATCTTCAGTAGCAATGAAGGAAAGTCGTCCGAGCTGGGCAACACGTTCTGATTCAGCAACAACACCTCACGTTGGACCTAATTGACGACGGGATAAAGTGACCCGACTAAAAGTTTCACGATACGATGGGCCAGTCGAACTGCACATCAACGTACGCGGCGGAGATCAAACCGACGTGACCGGGAGTGAATTAAACGTTCATTCTACCCAGTCACGGATCATTCACGACAACTTTATCTTAGACCTGTGTGCAGAACGAAAAGAAACCGCACCCTGGTGAATCCAATGCCAATGAACTTCTCTATTCCGCAAGCACCCACCATTCATCAACGCTTTTGACCTATATCCAGACACAAAATCAGAAGACGTTTGGTGTTAAGGACACTTTGAAACGAATACCTTGACGGAACGATCGCTCGTTACAATCGGACTCACAACATTCAGCAATCCATCAGGTGCCGCAAGCAAAGCAGACGAGAGACGAAAAACGCATTTGCATTGACATTAGAGATGATTCCAGTCAATATTCGATCTGATCACCTTGTTTGCAATGACAACTGGGGCTGCAATTCTGACTGATAATCCTGCTCACGAATTGTCAATGACGTAGGAACATAAGCTCCAAGCTTGGCAATTCCACGAGACAAGACGAGTCAGCGTAAAGCAGATAAGTACAAGGCATACTCTCTAGATCAACCGACAATCAAGCAAATGATGTGCCTCAACTATAGCTGATAGCGATCTGACCAATTGCACAGCTATTACAAGACCCTAAGACCAGTCACAATGGCCGCGGTATAATAGAGCCAACACTAACCACCATTTCTGCCGCAGCCACTGAGGCTATGATCTACCGAAGTCAACCCACCGAAAACAAATCGCTAGTACCCACCACCACACAGACGCCCCGATGGGATCGACAGGTCGTGCGTCGTTCCAAGGCCTGTACGGCTGGAACCTGTCAGGAGGAATCATGAACTATAGTACACGTCTGTGTTCACCTGACTGTTGATCGGTGTGCCTTCGGCGTCGGCATATCAAGAACTCGGAATTTGCAACGCATTCGGAATTGGTGGAGAGCTCGCGTTACCAAGGAAAAGTGGGGATTCCAATAGTTCACTGCGGTACGTACTTTGTTCCTCATTTCTTCACCTAGTTTCCTGGGGTTACAATTTACCATTAGCTTACAAAACGTGAATTCTCAGCTAATAGCTTAACGGTTGGCATCCATTCTCAGCCCACTCGATCTTGCCCCAGTGTATTTTACATTTAGTTTCATTCACAGATAGGCAGTAAAGACGCGCTCGATGAAGAAGAACAGTATCGCCGAACAGGACACTTCTATTGTAGGTTAGAAGCCTGGACGACAAATCAAGGCACTCCGCATAACCGTTAGAAGCAGCAGTACAAATAATACCCGGAAGATTGTATGTGTTATGGGAAATTCCTTTGAACTACCGGCTGACCTGAGAAAGATACCTGAAAAATTTCCTTATATACGTGAAACTACGATGGTTGAACTCTCTCCGAAGGTTGACATGCTCACATCTATGTTGCAACGCCCGCATAGTCCAGATGTCTTAGTTGAACCGCTCTCAAAAATTGGTAAACTGAACCTCAGGCAGTGCAGTGTACTAATAAACACATTCCGATAGACGTACATCATAGAGCAAGCTGTTCACGAAAGGCTACGACTTAATGCGCCGGATAAGTTACCATTAAAACTATTCAAAAGGTGAGTCTCACTGTAGGTGGCATGCAATTTTATTGGTACAGTTGCATCAGACCAAGCAAGGTATAACTCAATGCACCTGTTCTATAGTAGTTTTAATGGGAACTAATAGCTTAACAGTTTAATCGAAGGAGCTCTTCCCGTTAGACAACGGACAAGGTTGCGTTTTTGACTCATTGGAACAAAACTGGCGAAATGGGTATACTGGCCGGTCCAAGTTGTCTTTCTATGTACTCTCCTTTGTACTGTCCCGTAGGATGTTCTGGTGATGTGAACATCTAAGAATGACAACGAGTTGTTACTTTCAAGTTCTACGGTGAACACTATGTTGTTATGTGCAGCGTTGAAGTGGGCTAACAGATCTTCGATGCATACTCGACCATCCGCAACACAAAATATGTCATCTACGTATCGACCGTAGTAAACCAAGTTGTTGATACATTTGTTTAGCTGAGTGTTCTCCAACTTACTCATGAAGACATCGGCGAGTAGCGGTCCTAATGGTGAACCCATAGCTACCCCGTCTATTTGTCTGTAAAACGTCTCATTGAACTGAAACTGAATGTTCTTAGTGCACGCCAATATAAGTTGCCTTAAACAGTCATTTGGAATACCGATGTTGATGTTGTGCAATTGGATAAACTAGCAGAGATAGTCAATGGTCTCTTCTAACGGGACGTTGGTGAAAAGTGACGTTTCTTTGTAATCATAGAATATCGTTTACAAAATCTGGGAGAGCTATGGTACCAAACTTAAGGCGGTTACATCTTGTCCCACATTTAATGCGAGCAGTAGCTGAGATATAACTGGACGTTAATGCTTAGATCGATAAGCAGGAGCGTGAAAAAGTAAGCTGTAGATCATGATGATGCTAAGAAGTCTTATGGAACCGAAAGAAACGACTAACCTTGATTCGGAAAGATTCAAGTCGAAGTTGTAGAAATTGACTCGTTTGTCAGAGCCGCCGGATAAAAAGGATTTCTGAAAATTAAGAAAAAGACAACGGAATACGATTAATTATGAAGGAGGAAAACTGATTGGAATTCGACTAGGGCTATGGAAAACATGAGCAAAGCGTACACTGAAGACGAATGTATCTGTGTGTTAGAGCAAAACTATGAACACACGATATGAAAAAAACAGGAACAATGGGTGAAAACACTGGTTTAGAACAACATCGAGTAGAAAAGTGGTAAGGTGACACCGAGCGATAAAGTAAGGCGCAGAGGAGTGCAACAAAAAGCCTGACAACAGCAATGTGTTGCCACTACGTATCAACACAGCTAACCTTATCTCCGCAGAGAGCGAGACCACGGACTCCGCCCTGGTGTGCATCGCTGATCGTTTGTAGAACGGATTTCGAAAGGACATCGAATAAGAGCAGGTGGCCCGACTAAAACAACATATCGGAACCGTGTTGTAGGACGTGCATTGGGAGAATGATTTGGCGAACTATATGACAAGTAAACAACCTAAACGCTCACGTTTTGACGCAACAGGTGGTATCCATGTTCAATGAAGTATGAGAGCAGATAACTATTCATAAGTGAATTAATCCTAGAGGACAGGATGATTTTTTGGAGGACTCAAGAACATTGTATGCAGCGCCCACAATGTTAAAGGCGCTCACACTTTGTGAGGATGTGGTGCATGTCGAACATACAGAGCAATGTCCAACTCACCTCAAAACCAACCAACAAATGGCGATCACCAGGAACCAGTACCATCGTGGATGCTCTGGTTGGCCACCTAGTTTCAATATCATCTAATTCAAGAGAGCTGGAATTGGGCTCCTCATGGTGTTCATTCCAGGTTAATGTCGCTAAGCAGATAGCCGAATGCCTAGGAAATGGAATAAAGTGGAAGACCGAGCACGGAAAATGGTTAAAATGCTAAACGCGTACCAAAGAGTAACAAGAAAAACGGGCAGAGTAAATATTTACGTATTTTCACGTGTCTGCATCTAAACAAAATCTAGTTCAGAGAAGTAGTAGAGAGAGTCGAATGGTATCTAGTTCATAGAAAAACGAAGTTGACTTAAGCGATGAAGTGCAATTTGACAGAACAGCGAAAAGCGCGCGACATCAATCGCAACCACTCGTTTCGAAGTGAAGTGGACACCGGTGACTTAAAAGGACAGCAAATTTGGAGCACCGATTGTCTTCACTATCTGAGTAGATTTTGCGAACGTACTTTAAACGCAGCTGTCAGGGTGTGCTCGGCGGAGAACTAGGACGATGGTGATAATGAGAGCACGAAAACGATCACTTTATACATATGCATTAGATACTGTAGAGCGGTTTGGTGACATTTTGCCGGCATCGTTCCATTATTATCCAATTTCTGCCGGGCATACGCTCATGCTCCTATACGGTCTACCGAAAAATTTCAGTAACCGCTAAATTCTAAAAAAATTGCCAAAATCCATTAAGTCAACTGGACTGCGAAGTCGTCCGGATGAATTGGTTGATCCACTGAACGATGCACTCAATAAATTCAAACCTATCTAAGATGATTTGGATGGGATCCAAAGTAACCGGCCGTTTTTATCCCTTGACGAGAACACACAAAATACCCGAACCACTGAATGTCTTACTGCAGACGGCGGCATGCCCAAATAAGCGTCTAAAACACGCCCGTATCTTAATTGATGATGTTACAGCAGAAGTGTCAAGTAGAATAGGATGTTCTAAAACCGCAGTGGTTTTAAATTTTCCCGATAAATGGCCGGCAGAAATACTGCGGAAAATCCTACTCAAAGCCGGAGAGACTCAGTGCAAAGGCAAAAGGCTCCGAAAGAACGTGCAGTGTTAAAGTGTCCCATATTCTGTCCAATTAGTAATGCACTGATAGCAAACGAGTTCCCCAAAAAAACGCACATATAGCAGAAAAGACTACCTTTACAACATTAAGAAATTGATAAACCAAACGCTACTGCAAAGAGAAATTTGGCGAAGTCAGGCACTGCCGTCATAGAAAGGCCCTTGAGCGAGTAGTTTCGACAAAGCTAATACCACGAATACTATTTACTGTACTAAATAGGGGTACAGGGAGTCCAGTCAGTCCTAAATTAAAAAAGTATTATCCAAAGCGATGTCAAAAAAGATGGTGTAGCTCCTGTTAACATTAGTTCGGCAACTAGTACTACTGAAGCGCTGGCCGAAACTGCTATCCTCAATGGCGAAACGTCTGGCTTTGCAATAAAGCCACTTCCGCAAACTTCGAAACAAAGGAAGTCTAAGGAAAGAAGATGACCTAAAAGGTACAATGCCATTGCCAACAGCAGCGCATCATGTGCCTCATATGAATGGGACAAACATGCAACGTTGAAAGAAATGTCTGACCAAATTCCGGTCTCGGCATCCGGATGAGGATTTGAGTGCCACTGCGGCCTCCACAGGGACAGTCACAGGAAGCATGCGTCTACATGGCAACCATGGGTGGCTTGCGCTGCACCACCCACAGCTCTATCCACACACCACATATCCAGTGTAAACCCGAAAGAATAAAACAATGAAGAATGAGGAAGGGAGCCACGTTTCATAAACGGAGCGGGCCCACACTCCTTCACAGGCAAACACAAGCACGCTGTATTTGCGGAATCAAGCGCATACAAGGTGCTCGTAAGGCTGTAGCCCGCTACACACACCAAGTATGCACAGAACCACACTTTGACCTTAACACGGTGACATGGATCGTGCACCGCGTCCCCTCTAGCAACGACAAAACAGTCTCATGGAGCCAGTATAGACGAGGTGGTGGGCAATAGAAAGGGAGACTCCTTGACAAGATGCATATCAAACGCAACCACACCGGAGATGTCAAGCAACCACCGATTACTTGAAAAGACGATATCAAATAAAATAAATTGAATAAAGCATATGGATATGCCGGCATAACTCTTCACTAAATAAGCATGTGAAATAAATGCGTTACCAACATACCCGCGAAAAACTCAAGATGGCGGAAAAAGGGATAAAAAAACATGCAACATAGGTGAATAAAATTGAGGGAAAAAACCAGTTTTAGTTTAAATGCTATATATATATATATATATATATAGCTTCGGATTTGCGTGTCACTGTGGCCAGCCACAGGACGCCTGCGCCTACAGAGGGACGATGGGTGGCTTGCGCTGCACCACCCACAGCTCCAACCACACACCCCATATCCAGTGTAAACCCGAAGGAATAAGACCGGGAGGCATGTGGATGGGAGCCACGTTTCATCAATAGAGCCGGCCCACACTCCTTCACAGGCAAACACAAACACGCTGTATTTGGGGAATCAAGCGCACACAAAGCCGTGGCTGGACTGTAGTCCGCTCCACACTGAGTGCATGGAACCACTCTTTGATCCTAACACGGCCAAAAGGACCGTGCACCCCGTTTTCTCCAGCAAAGACCAACTGTCTCCTAGAGCCAGTATGATGGAGGTAGCGGGTAATAGACAAGTAGGCACCTTGTCAACATGCACATCAAGCGCAGCCACACTGGGGACATCAAACAACAGACAATCACCTGAAACGACAAGATGAAATAAAATATATCGAATAATGCGTACAGATACGGTAAAATAACTCTTCGCTAAATTAGCATATGAAGTAAGTTGGTTAGCAAACAAACCGTGATAAGTAAGAAATGTCCACAAGTTACTTACAAATGCTACAAACGCAAGAAAGTTACCAAAGATAAGCGCAATCAGCGTAAGCAATGTGGCCAGTTAATAGAAGATTATTCAGGTAGGCAGAAAAACCAAATAAAGTGGAATGAAACTAAATCAGCTTATAAAGACCTAGGTTAAGTGTACGTTGGTTTAGCCCAGCTGCAGTGAAGCAGCATCAAGAATGCAACATCAGCATCAGCATGGGGCATCATCATGATATCATCATTATACACGTCAGCTTGAGGTGGAGAACACCTCAGCTACTGTGCCGCAATACTTAAAGGAAAATAAATACAACAGTTGCACGCCAGCTGAGCTACCAGCAACGGATAGGCATCGTTCCGGTAAGCTACCAGCCGGTTACTAGGTAGAAAGAAAAATTGTTATATGTTAGACTATGAAATGAGATTGTAGGAAGAGGGGGAGGTTAAAAGGGATAGGGAGAGACAAAGAAACTCACAGCAGATACGCCACTGAGGTCGGCTCCTTGCCATGTCAACAAGTGTATCCAGCCAAACGTGTTCACCGTCTTTTGGACCCCAAGCAGGGAAGCGTGACGCTCCAACCGAGGCCAGCTCCGAAGTGAGGGCCTTCATTCTTCTGAACCAAGTCATCGCTTGGCTGCCCCTCCTCTTCTTCCATCCACATCCCCGGTGAGCAAACAACGCACGTCGTGGAAGTCGGTGGGCTGGAATGCGCAACACGTGGCCCAGCCATCGGAGCCTGGTGCGTGAAATGACGGTGCTGAGCGGTTCAGTTCCTTTTCCTGTGCCGTAAACAAGGCGTCAAACCCGCCCGCTACTCACGCGGTGATCCCACCATATGTGAGCCAAACTGCGAAGGCATCGGTGGTCGAACGTAACTAGCCTCTTCATATCCGCCGATCTTAGAGGCCGTGTTTTGCAACCGTACAGTAAGGTTGAACGTACTGCGGCAGTGTACACTCTACCCTTCAGGGCGAGAGTAATGTCGCGCCGCCATTATAGGTGGCGAAGTTCAGCAAAAGCACTCTGAGCTTTTGCTATACAGTTCGTGATCTCGTCTTCGATCCCAAGGGCGCTGATACAACTTCCTAGGTAGTTGAATTTCCGAACGACTTCTAGCTGATCCCCACCAAGGGTCAGCGCGGGAGGCGATCCCTGCCAATCTTGGAGGAACGCTTTGCACTTCGATGGCGCAAAGGAAAGCTCGAAGCGGCTGACAGCCAGTGCTAATCTGTCCATCGCGGCTTGGCACGTCTGGGAGTTGTCACAGATGAGGACAATGCCATCTGCATACTCAGTCAAGAAGTCGTTCTCCTGGGAGTAACTCCACACCTTCCAATTCATGTCCTGTAAATGCAATCTCCATAACTTCGTCAATAGCTAAGTTGAAGAGGAAAGGTGACAGCGGGCATCCTAGTTTCACACCGCTGAAGATATTGAAGGGTGGTGACAGCTTGCCGTAAGTCCTCACTCCACTTGTGCTACGCGCGTATAATGCTAGGATAATATTTACATATTGAGCAGACAATTCCAAAGGGCACATCGATCAACCGAATCGAAGGCACCTTTGATGTGGAGGAACATGACTACGGTGGGCCGCCAATATATGTGACGGTGCTCCAACAACTGACGCAAGGTGAAGATGTGGTCGATGCAGCCACGACCCCGACGAAACCCGGCTTGCTCCTCACGAATCTGGCTTTCACGAGCACCAGTCCGTCTGTGAAGGATTTCGGAGGCGATGGAGATCAGACTGACTCCTCTACAGTTGCCGCATTCCGAACGCAAGCCTCCTTTGAAGATCGGAACAATAACGGAGCGGCTCCAGTCGGTTGGGACAGTCTCCTGCTCCCACAGTTTCACTAGTAATTCATGTAAAGCATCTACAAGAGCTGGAGGAAGGTCATCTGGTCCCGCGGCTTTGTTCAACTTCAACAGTCCGATCTCACGTTCGACTTCTGAACGAGGGTGAATCCAAAGGGACAGCCCACGGAGCTAAGCAATCACTGGCCGACGAAGAATCGAACGATTCCGGTCGATTAAAATGCTTTTCAAAATGATCAGCCCAACGCTCCAGACGTTTTGACAAATTGTGGATAGGCTGTCCACTCTCGTCACGTACAGTTTAACCAACACCAGGTCTCCTGCTGCCTGTTTCCCGTATCAGACGGAATAACTTACGATGGTTGCCAA